TCAGTTTTAACATTCTGTTATGTATAAACTATATATTTATTATAATCTAAGTAGTTAAATATTAACATAATAATTGATTAATAAGTCAAATATTGATAATTATCTTATTTCATATGTTAGTTCATATGTTTGATTTCAGTAGTATATTAATATATAATTTACGTTTTATTACGCAAAATATATCATATATCTGTAAAAAACTTTATTTTGATATTTTAATTTGGCAACATGTTACATTCTAGTTTATTCACTCATAATTAAATACGATTAAATATATACATAATTAAATATATTAAACACGAAATTTCTAAATATTTGATAATATTCTCCATTGCATTTTAACCGGATTTTTCTCCTTGTCAAATAAAATATATTTTTTTATTTTAGTAAAAACTGTATAAATACGTAAATGGAACATATAGTTAATTTATTCTTTGTGTAAACCTCTCTCCTTTAATTTTATATATCGTTGTATAACAATATAAAATAAAGTCAAACTTATTTTTAAATATATGTTTTACATAATTATAATTATTAAGCATTAGTTTGCATTAAATTTCTAGTGTTATCCTCAAGATATTTAAAGAAATTCGTCTTCTTCGGAATCAAACGACAAGGATCAAGACTGCCCAACAAGTATCGTGTGCTGCCATCTAAGAACAAGTTGTAGTACCACGGTGAACAAAGATTCATCATCTTGCGAGCACTGATTAGATATCATACCAACTTTATCGACAAGTGCAAAAAATAGTCAATGTGTTATATGACTCTCGTACTTTATATTGAAGAACGTAAAATATTTTCGAATCATTAGTTTTCCCAGTTTTTGTCAATGCCATTTCTATGGTATTCTTTACACTCAATTCTTTATACTTTCTACTATTTTACGCTGCTATTGTGACGCAGTTTCCATTTCGCAAGTTTTACAGCGCGGGAACAATGCGAAATCATTTGTGTCGCTGAGCTTATAAATGATCTACTAATCGGTCTTATTTATCTAATGAAAAATGGAACTACCTCTCAGCCAAAAAATTCCAGAGCCGACACCCAATTTTCTCGTACCCCGCCGTTCGCTCCGAGCGGTAGACGTTCGTAAGCATTCTAACGTTTCTCGCATGGTATTACGATGCACCCGGATTATTTATATCGCAGCATGCGCTTTTCACGAATCAACGTCTTTCGTCGTTTCGTCTCCCGTACGAGGGCGAGTCGGGTCAAGACGCGGAGAGAGACGAGACGAAGACAGGTACAAATCTACAGGACGACGTTTCCCGAGCGTGCTTATCCCTCTGACCCCGCAGCATTAATAACGTTTCACAAGATCTCGAATTCTTCTTACCTGCGTCCTCTTTCTCTCAGACCCCCCACCCACCTCGAAGACCCCCCGCGGAAGAGATCGCGTCACTGACGTGTATTCTTCGCGCCGACGATCCTGATGGATACGCGGGTTTCGATGCGAACAAAAGGATGTTGGTTTAGCATGGAAGGCGTGTTTGTTGTTTTGATGAGGTATAATGGGATGGATCCCGGGTGTTGATGCATAGCACGTAGCGGGGTGCCGCGACTCCGTGGCCGCGCGCGGGCCCAGTTCAGGCCCCCGCTCGTTGAAACCCCCGTAGACAGGGGCCGCAACACGTCCATCACATGTCACGGTTATGTATTTAGACATATCTCACTATCATCCTGTGTATCTTCTCTTTCCTTCGACTCTACTCCACTCTTATTCTCCTGTGTGTCCTTGAACTCTTCGTCGCGCTTGGCGACACAGAGCCGAAGAAGCTCCGTTTTGTCGCTCATTGATCGGAATTTTCTGCGTCAGAGAAAACTCACCGAGAGAGGGATTGATGTGATTGGACAGAGGAATCATCTCAGAAAGAACGCTCCTCGGTTTATATCTATCGATAGACCTTAATTGAAACACAAGGCTAAAGGCAGAAGTGATCCGAGGTCTAAAACAAGCTCGACGCTCAGCGATCCAAAGTGATCAAAGCGAGATCAATAAATCACGACACTTGTAACGCACACGGATTCACTTCGCTTCCTTGATCTAATCCAAGCTCTCCCGAAGCAAATCCGAAGCGGAAAAGGACGATGACGAAAGTTTTATTTGCGATCGTTGCGAGGCACAGAGATTCAGCGTGCGCGTGGCTTTATTCACATTCGTTTTCCGATAGCTTCCTTTCATCATTCATCCCTTCAACTCTTTGTCCAATTTGCCACGCTGGCATTCTCGCCACCTTACTATTTCGCCAGACGATTCATTAATCGATCCAATAACAACCTCGTTCCTCTCTCTCTCTCTCTCTCTCTCTCTCTCTGTCTCTCTCTCTCTCTTTTTCTCTCACTCACTCACTCACTCACTCACTCACTCTCTCACTCTCTTTTTCCCCATCCTCGTCGATCTCGATGCAATCCAGGTCTTCAGTACCATGCGAGCTTCCTCCTCCTCGTTGGTCCCGCTTGGACGCCACATATCGTTCACCCAGGCCCATATTTCAACATTAATTTCCCGGATGGTGATACATCGTTCACATCAGCCCGGCCTCGTATCAGCGCGGAGGCTCATCATCATCCGCGTCCCCTTTTTGTTCCCCCCCGCTGTCGCGCGCGCATGGTCCTGCCGTTCCTCTTCCTCAGGGGCGAAAGACGACTTTTCTTCGGTCTAAAGCTAATCATTTTGTGGAGATACCCGACAACAGGATAATCGAGCGAGAAGTCAAGAAGAACACGCATGTCCCTTTCTGGACAGGATACATATAGGGCGTTTCGTCACAACTCCTCGGCATCACTCCCTGGCACATCATAAAACGTGTCCGAGACCGAGAAGAATAACATAGTGAAGCATGTTTTTTTTCGTTTCATTAATATATTTTATTATTAAATTAAATTATTTTTCTGAACGGAGAGTATACTCTTTCCATGTATTCTTATCTTATTTTTCTGGTACTTCAGGCTCTCTCTCTCAGAGACACGTGACCTTGAAACTTAAAGCGCTCTTTGTATCATTCGAAGCAAGTCGATCGATATTTCCATGACAAGGTTATCTCTCGGGGCATCCGTCGAGGATGCCTCGAGAAGTCCAACTATCGTCAACCTTCACGTAGATCCGCCCCTGTCCTTCTTCGTCTTCTTCTTCTATTCCACTGAATAATCACGTACTCGCCAGCGACCCTCTCTCGATTGCCGGTCGTTAATATCGACCGCCAGGTAGTCTCTGTCGATTGAATTTTTTACCGGTGCCCACCGCGGAAGCCGCGGCTCGAACCGGTACCTCATTCGTGCTGTCGCTTCTTGAGAGTAACCGACGTTCGGCCTAAACGTCCACTATTCGTCATTGCGACTCGTGCATCGCCACGCCGATGCCAGTGCCGATGGCACGAGGATATGCAAGAAATGGGACAGTATGGCGGGAGAATTCTCCTCTCTTTTTATCTCGAGATCGCGCCAAAGAGACATGGCGATGCTTCCCGACGTTCCTTCGATTCCCATGCCAGTTAAACAGTTCGCAATTTACATAGATAAATGCACTCGCGAACGATCCACGATACTGATTGCCGAAGAAGTATTAATTGGTATGAAGATGATTATTGTCAGTGTCGTCTGGATTTTTGGATCAATAAGCGAAAATTTTGAATTGTAACCAATCAACGTCGCTGAGAGACATACTATATTAGGAGTGTGATTTAGTTTGGAGGATTTTGCAAGAGATGATACTAATGTCAGTTTTGTCGAAGACATTCCAATCATAGCTATTGTTTCTTAGTGTTTTAATATTAGTCCAGAATATTTAGTCATTTAGTAATAATAGACGCAGTAAAAATCGTGTTAATACTATCTCAAAAATAGAGCTTCCTAAAAAGCATTTTCGATATGCGTTGCTTTTATTTTTTAATGAGAAGAAAACGGCGGCTGAAAATCATAGAATTCTGATAGAAACTTATGATAATGTTGCTCCATCAATTAAGATGTGTGAATATTGATTTAGACGATTAAAAAATGGTGATTTCAATGTTAATGATAAAAATCTCTCGGGACAACCAAAATGCTTGAAAATGCAGTTTTACACGCATTATTGGACGACAATCCATTATAGAACTTGTCAAAGCATTAAATGTTGATCGTACACCAGTTACTAAACGTTTAGATAATATGGAAAAGAATCACAAAGAAGGAAAGTGGATTCTATATCAGTTATCGGAAAATGCCATTGCGAACCGATTGAACATTTGCATTTCGTTGATCGCCAGACAAAAATGAAGAGTTTTTTATATAAAATTGTTACTAGGGATGAAAAATGGATCTATTTCGATAATCCGAAACAAAAGAAATCATGGATTAATTCAGGCCAACCAGCAACGTCTACTTTAAGGTGCAATATTCACGGTCTAAAGGTATTACTGGGTATTTAGAGGGACCAAAAAAGTATTATGTATTATGAATTGTTAAATCCGAATGAAATTGTCACCGCTGATCGTTATTGACAACAATTATACAAATTGAAGCGAGCATTGAACCAAAAACGATCACCAATTGCGAGTAAACAACACAAAGTGATCCTTCTTCACGACAATGCTCGACTTCATATTGCATTATCAGTGAAGCAAACGCTATTAGAGCTGGAATGGCAAGTCTTATCGCACCCCACGTATTCTCCAGACATTGTTCCATGCGATTATCACTTGTTCCAGTCGTTGCAACATGTTCTAGAGAATACATACTTTCATAATTTCGAAAAAAGTTGTGAAAATTTGTTGGAAATTGGAACAACTCCAAAGAAGAATCTTTTTATGGTCGCAGAATTCATCTCTTGCCAGAAAGATGAGTAAAAGTCGTAGGAAATTAAGAAAAATATTTTTATTAAGATATTCGTTCATTATCTTGTTTAAGCAAATCGGTTTTTGAAAAAAATCCTCAAAACTAAATCACGCTCCTAACAAATATGGACAAAATAAAGTATGTATCACGAGCTATTTAAATTTAAATTATTTTATTTACGTGTGTACAAATATCATGATTTTACAAATACATTCTATGAACACGGAAACTTAGTACAAAGTATAACAACATAATAAAAGGTAGTTTCAATAGTATTTCTTTACTTTACGCTTTATTAAAGCTTTACGAGCAAATAAACGGACAGCTCGCGGTCTTTGCAATTTGATTGCTTCATTGACTCGAGACAAATTTTTTGGCACGGATAATACTAGATTTGTTCCTTCAAATTGCATTTATATTTATTATTTGCGCTATATTAATTTGGAAATCCGTCGTTACTGGGTAATTAATGTTATATCAATTAATACGAATATAAACATTGACAATAAAAGTACAAAATCAACGCACTGGAGAATTCTTTTCTAAGATATCGTCGAAAATATCGCAATTATTCAGAATTGCCTACTATTTTCGCAGGTTTCACAATGAAATTATCCGAATGGCCGTCAACATCCTCTAATTCTCTTGAATAGAACTTTGCAACTATCCTGGCCCGTCCTTCCATCTTTGGTATCATGGAGAACGTGCACTTTACATCCTTGTCTACCTCGACGGGCTCTGTTAGCTTTAATTTCAATTGTTGGTTCAATCCAGGTCCCTCGATAAGGAATCTGCCCTTCTTCAAAGGAATCGGTAACGGGTTACGGAACTTGGCCGTCGCATGGAGAGTTTGACCGACTATTGGGTCATTATCCAACTGATAAGAAAATACCACATAAATCAATATAATACTCATGAGACATCGCCCTAGTATATAACTAGTATAGACTAATTTTATTATTATACATTATTATTAATATTACTATGATTTTGATGTCGGGTTTCCTGACGCGGAAGTCGTCCTGCGCGAAGTATTCGAAATTTGTGTCCTTCACGGTAGCGAGGCAGGCGATATTGAAGGCACACTGATCCAATAATCGTGGGCCATATTCCTCCCAGGAAACATCCATGCGGATTTCTTCCATCACTCCCGGCCGCACCAATTTCTCAGCATTCAACCTTTTAACCGGATCGCCCACGCGACCGGTGTAGAGGACAGTTTCCACTCTTAGAATGACCGACACGCGGTATTCTTTTAGCGAGTGTCGATTTTTTATGAGTAATACGACGCTGTGAAGAAAGTGGAAGAATTTGATAGAATAAAGAGAGACAGAGAGGTATTTACAGAGTGTCTGACACAATTCATACGTCCACTCGTGTGCAGGTAGAAATCAAACCGAACAAGAAAATCGTGTACCATTTTGCACAAACAATTATAATAATTATCGATATGTATTTATAGAAGGTCAGTTTCTTTCTAGATTAACTTATGTCATTTACATGCCGCAAATATTAGCCAATATTATTTATTAAACTCGGTTTATTGAGCTTGATTGATAGAAGGATTCTAGTGATTCTATTTTTGTTCAAGATTCTGAGAAATTTGGTTAAATGTTTTGAATTGTTAGAATTATTCACATTTAATCTTCTGGTAAAGTCTCTTAGTTGTACATCTTTTTTATAAAAGAACGCATCAGACTCTTTATAGGATATTTAAATTGGTCTCAATAATATAGCTGACCTTTATCATATACTCATTGCTAAGATTTTTAAAGCTACCATTATAAAAAAAACTTATCTTTTTATATTACCATTTAGCTCCTATTTATCTATGCATTGTTTCCTTTATAATTTTTCTTTTACTCTCTTTTTGCATTTCTTCTCCATTTGTTTGTTGCTTTTTTCATTTCTTTCTTTTCTTATTCACTTTATTAACCTCGAAAATTATGTAATCTATCATTATATATTTTGTATCAAAACATTTTATTTCCCGTAGATAGAAATATATATTATATGTATTATACAGGGTGTATAAAAAGTACCGGGACGACGAAATATCTCGAAAATTAAGCATTTTAGAGAAAAATGTTTCAGACTAAAAGTTGTACGGTTTCAAGAAGAATATGAAACAACTATATCGTTTTGTTTATAGATGGCGCCACTTTCGAAATATTCACTGATTTACTTTTACTTTTACTGATTACTTTTCTTAAATGGAAACCCCAATTTTTTATTACACCGTCTTTTTCTACCAATTAATTTAAACAACATTTGAAACATTTTTTTATTTGCCTAATATTTTTTGAGATATTCAAGGAAGACTTGATAACTTTTTCAATATTTAACTCACGATTTAATCTCGCTAACTATTTGTCAGAAGAAAAAGTGGTACTAGACTTTTCTGCTCTATTTAATCTCAAGAATATATTGTTATAATAGAGCCCTAACTTTTGTTAATTTACTGGCTTTTGGAAATTTTAAAATCATCAAATTAACAAAAGTCAGGACGTTGTTGTAACAATATATTCTTGAAATCAAGTAAAGCAAAAAAGTCTGGTATTACTTTTTCTTCCAACAAATAGTTAACGAGATATCGTGAGTTAAATATTGAAAAGATTATAAAGTTTTCCTTAAATATCTCAAAAAATATTAGGCAAATAAAAAAATGTTTCAGACAAAAGTTGTTTAAATTAATTGGCAGAAAAAGATGGTGTAATAAAAAATTGGGGTCTCCATTTAAAAAAAGTAATGATCAGTGAATATCTCGAAAGTGGCGCCATCTATAAACAAAACGATATAGACATTTCCTCCTTGAAACCGTACAACCTTTGTCTGAAACATTTTTCTCTAAAGTGCTTAGTTTTCGAGATATTTCGCCGTATTGATACTTTTTATACACCCTGTATAGTAAAACGTGGTCAATATCATAATACGTCTTTTCACTAATCAGCTTCCCGTCGTCATTAAGATAATGTGAATATCTTAACAAATAAATTCCGACTTCTTGGATGAGATTTTGACTAAAGAGCTTGTCCCACCATATGCATTCATTCGTTAATTTTCTTTAATTATTATCCCGATAATTATTTTTTTGCAAAATAATACAGACTTTTTTTGACAGTTTAATAAGTTTTATTAATACACAATCAGGTATACGATATTGCATCAAACATTTTATATTCTGTAAAAACTTCCGATAAGAAACATTCACAAAAACAGATTAAGTAAATAAAGTACCTGAATGGTTGCCCGATTATAATGTCGTCGCGCAATTCGAAAGTGAACGTGATGTCATTGAACTCTTCATTGAGATAATAACGACTGAACAAAGATTCACTTTGACGTAGCGCCTTCAGCATAGCCGCCCGTTCTTCATTGGTCTCTGTCGAAAAGGACGATAACTGTACAACTACAGCCGACTAAATGTATAGAATTAGTCAAACGGTTTAACTGAATTTTTAGATAAAATTTCGCTTAATTGCACTCAATGAAAACTAATTATTTATTAATCAAGTATTTACCATTGTTGTCTACAATTCTTCATTAATGTTCTGGCAACAGAATATTATCAGCATTATCGTCTGTATTATACAGGGTGTCCCATTTAACCTGACAAATCGTAATATCTGGAAAACTACTACTACTACTATGTCGGATCAAAAAATGTGGGTAATGAAATTTGTTCATCTCGAAAGGAGACATCCAATGATATCAAACTCGACCTCCCACCCCACTCCCGGGGGGTGGGGGTGGGGGGCAACTTTGAAATCTTAAATAGGAACCCCCATTTTTTATTGCAGATTCGGATTTTACGCCACAAAATACGTAAGTTTCGTCCGAAACTTCTTTTTTGATTCGTGATAGATGGCGCTGTAATCGCAAAAAATTAGATTTTCTGCAATTCTCCAGAAATGATCATTGGATTGAAAAATAAAAAATACTTGTTCAATATTTTTAAAAATATTTTTAAAAAACATAATAACAGTCATTCCCCCCATCTCCTCGGGGTAGGGTGGGTGGTAACGTTCAAATCTCAAATGAGAACCCACATTTTTCATTGCAGAATTAAATTTTACGTGAAATTTTTATGGAAACAATTTTTTTCATTCGTGATAGATAGCGTTGAATTTTTCCGAGAAACTACTTTCAAAATTTCTCCTGCGTTCGCCATAAATGAAAATCATTTCAATTTTTTCTTGCACAGTTACATAATCCATGATGCAAAGTCAGAAGAGAATGATAGTGGCATGGAACACTCTTCAAAAATTGATTAAGCACCTCTCCTAATTAGAAAGGTAAGTGTCTAATAATGATCGTCTCTTAAATTCTATGGGCGCGGACGATGGAGAGATGTCACTAACAAATTAATTATGCAAAATCGATGGTGAGAGGCGAGAGGACTCACCTAAAACAAGCACCCCGAAGGGAACAGAAAGCTATTACGTCCTCGTCGTTGTTTCTGGGTAACGTTAAAAGTAGTTTCTCGGAAAAATTCAACGCTATCTATCACGAATGAAAAAAATTGTTTCCATAAAAACTTCACGTAAAATCTAATTTTGCAATGAAAAATGTGGGTTCTTATTTGAGATTTGAACGTTACCACCCACCTTACCCCGAGGGGATGGGGGGGAATAACTGTTATTATGTTTTTTAAAAATATTTTTAAAAATATTGAACAAGTATTTTTTTATTTTTCAATCCAATGATCATTTCTGGAGAATTGTAGAAAATCTAATTTTTTGCAATTACAGCGCCATCTATCACGAATCAAAAAAAAAGTTTCGAACGAAACTTATGTATTTTGTGACGTAAAATCCGAATCTGCAATAAAAATGGGGGTTCCCATTTAAGATTTCAAAGTTGCCCCCCACCCCCACCCCCCGGGAGTGGAGTGGGAGGTCGAGGTTGATATAATTGGATGTCCCCCTTCGAGGCGAACAAATTTCATTACCCACTTTTTTTGATCCGACATGTAGTTTTCCAGATATTACGACTTGTCAGGTTAAATGGGACACCCCGTATACAGGGTGTTCGATTTAATCTGTCCAGGCCGATATTTCGTGAACTAGTAAAGCTAGAAGAAAAATCAAAAAAGGTTCTTCAATGGCCTTACTTCGAGATGATTTTCCGCGCGGTGAAACCTAACTTTTCCGTATCGGACTTCGAGGAGGGAGGGGCGCTCAAATTTTTAAAATGGAAATCCTCTACGAAAATAACATTAATCAATAGGACTCGAAACGACGAATCCTAATACCTCTTCATGACTCTTCCGAGCATCATTACACTTTAAACAATTTTACTAATCTTCTACCATTACTGCGCTATGTGATCGTTTTATTTTTTGAGCCATGGGTATCAACTCATGCCTCACAAAATTCTTTTCGTATCCTATGAACTGGTGTTATTTTCATAGAGGATTTCTGTTTAAAAAATTTGAGCGCTCCTCTCCTCCTCGAAGTCCGGTACGGAAAGGTACGGTTCCGCCGCGCGGAAATTCATCTCGAAATAAGGCCATTGAAGAACCTTTTTTGATTTTTCTTCTAGCTTCGCTAGTTCACGAAATTCGGCCTGGACACATTAAATTGAACACCCTGTATATGTAATACTGTTTATTGAAAAGTGAGTTAAACGTTTAACTAATTTCATATTATGTTACATCAATAATTTTCGATTTAAACAACAAAATTGATATAAAATATATACAGCGTCACTTTACAGCTTTTTCTTACCTGAATAATATGTAATTTAAATGAACATTTACTCTTGGACTTTCAAAAAGATAAGAATATATACAACCTCTTTAAAGAAAGAAAAAAACTTTGCATTGTGTCAATTTGACACGTTTATTACATAAGATTACGAAAAAATAATAAAAAATGATATTTGTTTGGAAATGTACTTAAAACTTTAAACACGTTTTTCTCGAAACCACGCTTTTTGTTTCTTTATATACATATGTGTGTATTACTATGTATATACAAGGTATTTCAAACATCCGTTCACTCCTTTTATTTTGAAAAACAGTGCTAAAAATGGTGCTAGATAAACATAGTTACCACAAAAACTTAAGAACTCAAAGCACATAAAAATAAAAGAAAAATTTTAAATCACATAATTTCCTGTTATTGGGGATTACTTACTTTCCGGATACTTATAAGTATGCGTGATGTCCTCCCTCGCCCACCGTCCGACCGCTTTCGTACTAATGAGTTGGCCGATGCTACAAAATTACCGTAGTACAATTACTCAAGTGCAATCAGCTCAATGGACACTTACGCATATTAGCAACAATCACGGCCGATTAATCCGTTTCCGCGTAACGATTTCTTTCTCGAGACACGTACCCATACATATCCTTACGAACCAATTTCAAGGGTTGCGTTGGTCCATTGTAACGCCAATAAACCTTATCGGCGTTTACCTCAGCGAAAAGAAATGCGTTGTCGTAAGGTCGCAGAACCTCTCCCTTCTTCACAGCATTCACAGACGCTGGCCCGCAACGGAACGCGCCTTCACTTAATTCCTGTGGTGTTGCGTCGATCGCCTGCCAGCCTGAGCAATCAAGCGACAGATCTAATCGCTTCATCCACACCTCGTTCCATACGTGGAAATTCCTTTTGTGAGAGGAAATCGAGAAAATCGATTTGATATACTTTTATCTCCTTTCATGATGTTTCATTGATTTTTATTAAAAGGCACTAATCCGCATCGTAACGACATCGCGTCCGACTATCAAATTACCATATGGAATCGCTGTTAAGTTCCTCCATGACCTTTCCCTCGGCATCTACGAAGTAATCAACGGTTAAACTGCTCTGCGTATCGTGCGCGCTGGAATAGTTGGTCACCACTCGGCAGGGTATACCGAGAGCACGGCAGACTGTTGCCAACACGCCGGAGAAGACCCAACATTGGCCATATTTGACTGGTTTCTTGGTTTTATAATATTGCTGAAGTATTTTCTGCGAGCCTATCCACCGTGTGGGTGGCGTGCCGCCTTCGTAATCGTCCGACCAATTTCCCATCACTGCTCCGTTGTCATCCGGAGAATTCACCTGGAAATCGACTTCATGCTTACAGGAGAACGAACGAACAATCCGGAAATTCTGGTTTTTATGAAACTTTTGCGTGTTTCTCATAATTTCTCGTGGAAAAAGTTTTTCTTCTTTTAAGGTAAATATTGCAATTAGTGGTAGCACATCAATTTGTGACGAATGCACTCGTTTTTCGTAATAAATCAGCTAATACGTCCATGTTTATTTTAATATTTTTACTCTACTATGTTCTTACTCTAAATTTTATATGTATTATCGGTTATGAGAACCTCCTGATAGAAATATTTGTAATTCGCTTTCTCCTAGTTATTGTCTATTACACAGATCTACAAAAAATGGGATCATGATTGTTGTTGGGCAGCTGGGGCTCGTTTCCCAAGTAATTTTCTGCGTAGAATCCGAATCCGAGGTCAGAATTGGCCCATCACGTCAGGATTTTGAAATATTTGAGGTTATATACTCGAAAAATGGCTTTTTGGGCTACTTTTGAGGTTATGTATAGGACGCACAAAAATTTTTAGCTCTTTTCTTCTAATTGCATCATTTAGTACTACTCTTTCCCTTCAAAATGAGCTGTCGAATGGTCATCTACGATTTTTCCTCGCAAAGTTACGGCCATTTTAAGATAACATGATGAGTTCCAAATCCTGCGCCGTTATAGCCCAACAACCTCATGAGCATTCACATTAAACCTGTAAACTTTGAATTATAAACCCGAAAATCTGGACTGAAAACTGTATATGTGGGTTTTTGGGATCGCTGATTACGAATCTGATTTCAGATCGACCCCAAACCAAAAGATTCGTAATCAGCGACCCCAAAAACTCATATATACAATCTGCAGTCCAGGTTTTCGGGTTTATAGTTCAAAGTTTACAGGTTTAATGTGAATGCTCATGAGGTTGTTGGGCTATAACGGCGCAGGGTTTGGAATTCATCATGTTATCTTAAAATGACCGTAACTTTGCAAGGAAAAATCGTAGATGATCATTCGACAGCTCATTTTGAAGGGAAAGAGTAGTACTAAATGATGCAATTAGAAGAAAAGAGTTAAAAAATTTTTTGCGTCCTACACATAACCTCAAAAGTAGCCCATAAAACCATTTTTCGAGTGTATAATCTCAAATATCTCAAAATCCTGACGTGATGGGCCAATTCTGACTTCGAATTCGGATTCTACGCGGAAAATTATTTGGAAAACGACCCTCAGCTGCCCAACAACAAATCCTTGTAGACCTGTGTTATTAATACATTTTTATTAATTGCAAAAATACTCCTTAAAAATTAGACAAAACTTTGATAAACTTTTATTAGGTGTACAAATGAATAATCCAATTTTTTCAGCTACATTTATTTTAGAAGAAAGTAAATTAAATTGTTTAATCAAAGTATTCGCCGTTGCTTTCTATAACTTTAAACCATCTTTCAGGCAGCTGATGAATCCCATCTCGGAAAAATGTTACGTCTTTGGACACGATAAAGTCGTCAAGCCATTTTCGGATCTCATCCACTGATTAGAAATGCATATCGGACAAGGCGTGTTGCATCGACCGGAACAAGTGATAATCGGATGGAGCAATGTCTGGTGAATACGCTGGGTGCTGCAAGACGGGTCCCAGCCAAGACTCATTATGGTGTCTTTTGTATTGGAAGCAATGTGTGGCCTGGCGTTGTCATGCAACAATTTCATTGGATGTTCTCCTTTGCCAGTATACGGGCGTTTTCGTTCCAATTCTTGACTCAAGCAGATTAATTGACGTTGCTAGCAGTCCGCAGTAACAGTTTCACCCGGTTCCAATAACTCATAATAAAGTACGCCCTTGATATCCCACCAAATACCACCAGAGAAGAACCTTCTTTCCGAAGTGATTGGGTTTTGCGACCGATTTTGATGATTCGCCAGGATTTACCCATGACTTTCTGCATTTCGGATTGTCATAGAGTATCCATTTCTCATCGCCCGTAACGATTTTCCACAAGAAAGACTTTCGACGTTGCTTATTGAGAAGAGAAAGACACGCTGCCACTCGTTGATTTTTGTTAGTTTCAGTGAGTTCATGCGGAACCCATTTTCCTTCTTTCTGGATCTTTCCCATCTCATGTAGGCGTTTGGAAATCGTTTGCTGCGTTACTCCCAACTGTTTTGCAAGCTCTTTTTGTTTGGGCCAAATTCTCAGCGAGCAGTTGTTCCAAATCATCATTATCGCACTTCGAAGGGCCTCCAGGGCGTTGTTTGTCGATGAGACTGAAATTACCGCTTTTAAACCGCTTAAACCAAAATGCGCACACATCGTACGATACAGCACCTTCGCCAAGAAAGGAACAAATCGATTCGCACGCTGTTGCAGCATTTTTTCCTTGTTGGAATTCGTAAAGAATGCAGTGTCGGATATGCACCTTATCTGTTGCCATTTTCGATTGTACTGAACTGAATACTTTTGAAGGTTATGTTGGGCCTTTGGCCAAACTATATGTTCTTTTTAATAGCTATATGTCAACATTGCATAATCACAAAAGAGCGGGAAAATCTATTCAATTTAAAATTGATTTCATAACTGTTTAAAATAATTTGGATTATTCATTTATACATCTAATATTTAGTTCATTATACAATATATAAACCAATTTTTTTCAAAATTTTTTTTCATTATTTTTTTATTACTATTTTTTAAATAAGATCAGTAATGTTAATTCAGTTTTATAATACATAGCATTGTAATGTTCATTGTGGAAATAAGTGGAAAACATTTTTATTTATATTATTAAAAAATAAATGTGTAAACAAGCGACAGCGACAGTTTGAACAATTGACTCGCTGAACATTGAACAATGAACTCGCTAACAGCCTAAAAGGTGATAATTAATATCAGACGTTGATTAATTAGATCTATGCAGTTATTCTTTAACTTATTTAAAAATAAATTGTCAATAAAAAAATTAAACTATTATCTTACTTCAGTCATTTTAGAGAGAATATTATAAATGAATAAAAATTTAATTCATAAGTTAAAAAATATAATATAACTAGAACCTCAAATGTTTAAACTTTCCAACAAGATTGACTTTGTGATAAGATTGACTTTTATTTTTAGCTTAACACATAATATAATTAATTTATTAATTTATTCCCACGATGAAGTTACTTGATCGTTTAGTCAATTAGTTCCTTAGCTACTTAATCAATTGAGACATTCATTTTATATTATGTTTATTTTTTTTATTTGTTATTTTCTTTTATTCTCTTTTATTTTTTTATTTTATTTTTTCTTTCTAACAACTTACCGCGGCGGATAGGCAGCGAGTTATAACGACTGGATCATTCCTACCGGAGACTCGAACCTTGCCCACTTGGTTCATCAGGTGCAAGGAACAATCTAAAATATCACATTCGAATTGTGCGTATTTCCATACGGTGGGCCGCATCCGATTGTGACTACCGCGCCAGATCAAACCGTCCTCTGCCATTACGTACTCCTGGCGTTCAGCCTCGTCCTCTAAATAGACCATATCGTCTGAAAGAAAGAAGTCCAGTGTTCCGTAGTTATCGAGACGAAATGCGATCCAGCATTGAACCATGTGCGCCAAGCGAAGTTAAGATTTCGACAAACGATTAGGATATTGAAGAATATATACCTCTGCACCATGGATTGCAAATCAAGTAAAACGGATTCTGCATCGTAAAACTGACAGCTCCTTCGGATTCTCTGTTTTTTGTGTCAATTTCTACTTTCCATTTGCCAATGATCGCGTTTGCAGAAGGCACAATCTAAAAATGGATAAATTTTGTTAACGATAGACAAAATTGCAATTAGGATTAGAATTTATTTTAATTTTGGAGTTGGTATATACTATTCCCCTTGGAATTAAAATAATATTGTAAAATTATTTCACATGTATATGTATGTATCCGTGTCAAGTCTTCCAGAGAATATATGACAATTATATAATTTATTATAAATGACAATTATATAATTTATTATAAACATAATACATGTAGTATTTTATTAATAATGCATTTATGTATAGCTAGAAAGAAAAAACTGGAAAAATAAATAACGTACAGAGCTAAATATGGCAAGGTAAAAGAAGAAAACAAAAAAATTGAAAATAATAAAATAATAGAATAAAATATAGAATAAAAATAGAATAAAAATAAAATAAGAAAAAAGAAAATAAAAGAAGAAAATAAAAAATTAAATAAGATAAAAGAAAGAATAGAAGAGGGACAAAAATGAAGAATAAAAAATATCTTTGAGACAGAAAGATTTGAAACTATTCGTGTTTCTAAATAAACTAAAATTAATAATGCAAAGAAAAACGTGTAGAAGGATATGAATAAAAAAGTACAGAAAAAAGTAAACAGTGATAGTATAACAAAGTAAAGTGTAAGTAGTCATTGCTCAGGACTATGTGATTATTAGAATAACAAGAAAAACATGAAGGATATTTGTGATACACAATAACAGTGATAGCGCTAAAAAGTAATAGCGTAGAAAGCAAAAAGTCAATACATAATGAATGATTAAACAACGACTTAAATTATATGATCATTTTGTAGCAGCCACAAAGCTGTGCGTTTTTCAAAATCGAGGACGCATTGCATGAGTGCATGTTTAAAGATAACTATGAATGAGTTATAAATGAGAGCATCAGAGAGGGAGAAGAATGACAGACAAAATGGGAAGGGGGGAGAAAGAGGTATATATCACAAAAAGTTACGAAATTAATCGGCATTCAATGACTGTTTTAGTGTCGAGGAATTATCGATTCCAGTTGCATCATCTTGCAAATCATCTTGCAAAAACTGAAATCGCTAGAAATCTTAGATAATGGCTCCTTCAACTTGCCTTGATCCTTAAGAAATTCAGTTCTATGGCATCTATAGTGACTTGCCAGTCAGCCTCTGAGATCTCGCCAGGATTGAGCAGAGCTGTTGCAACCAGAGTACCATGTCCGTATTGCGGCTTTTCGATACCGTCCAGGGTGAAAACGATAGAGACTCCATCGATGGCAGGATCATAGTTTCGTGACAAACCGAGGTGCAAATAGAACTCCTGACCACGTCTGACAACCAGTCTCGCTCTGTCAGCCTGCCGTGTCATTAGTTCGTATCTGTACGTCCGATGTTTCTCGCCGTTCTCTTCAATGCAAGGGTCCACATAGTAAATCGTCAATACCGGCACGCCAAAGTCTTCCCCTGCAAACAAATAATTCGCTCGAAATAATAAAATATCTTTTTCCGATAGCCGCTTGTATCGTCGATTCGTTTTGTCTTCTATCAGCAATGCGACTATTTTAATATAAACTATCCTCTCCTAGTAAACACCAACTGATAGTAATCAGTACATCAATATTATAATTTCTTGCTTGGAATGATGTAACTGTTATATACAACATGCGTTATATTACACTTACATTACTCTCTCCGGATGAGGAATTGTAATATTACTGTTGTGGTTAATTAGGCTTACATGAACTAATTTCTTTCTAATATAAAGCTGAATATAAAGCTTCAAACAATAAATGCGTTTCATATATCCGTCTCTTCCGGATATCCTAGTGTGACTTTCTTCTTAAAATTTCTAGAATGCGACGTAGACTCACAGTAGAACCTGAACGGAAACGGCCGAACACTCCGGTCATTGAAGAGTCGGTAGCGATCGTAGAATCTGTAAAACATCCTGCGACGATCCGGATGCACCGGGTGCACCGGTTGTGGATACGAACGGAAAACTGGATACATCGACGAGGAACGTGTCGCATGTGAGCTCGCCGAATGACTGAAAAGCTCACCGACGCCGACAGTGACGAGGAGGAAGAAAGAAAACCACCTGAGAGGTAGGATGCTGCGTTCTAAGAGTAATTTCCAAGGACATACGTGCGAGTTGCAACGACGACCACAACCATACATGGCGTCATCGGTGACACCTACTTGTTAGTAGGAGTCACCTACTTTTCTATATGTCCCCATAAATTACAACGGTGATACATAATCGGCGCACAGTCGAGATGGGAAAAGGGAGGATAATTTATTGCAAATTTCAATGAAATGCCGTTTTCAATTCCTTTATTGGCGTTTATTTAGATGTCGAGGGAAAGATATAGCGTTTCGTGATTTATGCAAATTACTCACCTACAAGACCACGGTAAACGTGGATATTATGCTCGTTAAAAAAGTCATTAAAACCTACTCGAATTCCAAGAAACGCTTTGTCCGCCGTGTTTGGGGCCTCTGCCAATCGGTCGATTTCTCGCATCGGAAAATCTTCATCGAGTCGGCAAAACAATATTGATCAATAATTAGGAAAAAGACTAATTACATGCTTGTGCCATTACGTCATCACAGTGCACATAAATGATTGAATTCCATGTTCTTGATATGTAAAAATATTTCCATATACCACACTTTCGTACAAACCCTAATTTAAATCGAAATTCATACAGTATGGTGACAATCCCTCTTTTCAATTTTAGAGAGATTCTGAAAGCTATGTGGCAGATCATTAAGAAGATTGTAGAGCCTTCAGATTTAAGATAAGTTGAAGAAGACATCGTATAGATTGAAATTTTGATTCTATAAATTAACTACAAATTCTGTTCTACAACTCGCTTCAGAATTAATTAATGTTTTGTTACTGTGATATTCCATTTCCATTCGATGTTCTTTTAATATCCAATAAGCAATATATAAAGTTGAAGGTGAAGATAAATTAAAATATTTTTTAGACTCTGTTGATCAACTCTCATTTCTCATAAAGAGTACATCTCTAAAAGAAATAAGGAAAATGATAAGCTCATCAAACTCTACAGATAGTGTACAGTTACGATTTTACTGCAAGAAGAATTTGGAAAAAATTATTCAAGAAGGCATTTGCTTTTATCACGCCAATAGTTAATGTCACATTTTAAACTGGCCTCAATGGGAAATAATATAATGAAAAGTAACAATAAATTATTTTTATTCTAAAGCTAGAAGAATTTACCAATAGAATAGAATCAAACAAACCTATAAGTCTACCACAGATTTTGTCAAAATTATTCGAAAAAATCTTGCTTACAATATTGAAATCTCTCTCTTGGAAATAATAATTCCAAAAAATCAATTTGGCTTCCGCGAACAGCATGGAATTATTGAATAGGTATACAGGATGTTCCAGAACAATGGTATCTGAGGGACGTAGATTAAAGCAAACAAAAAGTCCTATATCATTTTGCGATATTCGCAAGAATTATCGAGTTTCTACTTACAGAAATCTGACGAACGACACACGCCGAGATAGTATTGGACGAGTATTGTAGCCGATCGGCTACGAGGCCGAGGCTTCACAGCGTGATTTAGCAACTGTTATCAGTGCACGGCGAGATAAGACTAACACATAGCCAAATAGCAGCAGAATTTTATCCTTTCCCTCGCCGCGCATCGGTCACAATTGCTGGACTGGGTCGCGCTTTCCCCGGAATGGCTAAAATTCTTTTTCAATCACCTATTTCGACGCGTGCTCACTCCTCAGAGTCCCTATTCGTTCCTATTGTCCTTATCCGTTATCTAGACTGATTCCATGTGATAGCACACACGTACACGTGTGCACACATCACACACACACACACATACACACGTACACACACATAGAAATAGAGGGCGGTTTGGAGTCACAAAACGTATATGCATATTGTATGAGGGTGGAAGTTTTTAATTTAGGTTATAAACTTAGGAACGCTATAACGCACTGAAAAATGACTCACTTTCAAAAAACAGAAAACTGTTATACTCATCTCATCGTCAGCTACAACTTTTATTTCGAGAAAAAAATCGACTTCCATTAAAAAAATGGCCGCCATGATGAAATCTCTAAAATAGTAAGTTGATAATATTATCATTTTCCCCTTCGAAGCCATAAAACTTTTATTTGAAACATTTTTTTAAAAGATATAAAATACTTTATTTATTGAAATAAAAAAAAATAAATGCAAGTCAAATATAGTTCAAATATTGAATATTTCTAAAACAAATTCTTTATGAAGCTTAAACATAGAACAAACAGCGGTAAACAATCAATTGCAATATAATTTCCAAAGTTATATATAACAAAGTAATATATAATAGAAACAAAACTTCAATTCAGGATGCAATGATATTATAGTATCGCCATAGTATCGCAAATATCGCAAAATGTTTGAGACTTAAATCTAATATTTTAACGAAACGCGGTTTCTTCCTCTTTCATTTTTGTAATTCCTAGTCGTGATAAATGCAAATGTTGAAATTCCACGAGTAATATTAAGAGTACAAATAAGTTTCCGCCGTTTGACTAAAGATGGTCCCACCAGAAGGTTATGTTGAAATTGTCAGATGTAAAACGTAATATCGTAAGTTTGGACATCTGGTAACAACATAACCTTGAAATATTAGTGACTCCGTATCAGCATCATATAAATTTTTCTTGCGAAAATGTCAAGTTTTGTGCCGAATAAACATCATTTGCGGGAACTTTCGATTTACTTCTTTAATTTGAAGAAATCTGCAGCTGAGGCGCATCGATTGCTTCTAGAAGCATATGGTGAGACTGCTTTAAGTGAGAGAAGTTGTCGTGAGTGGTTTCACAAGTTTAAAAACGGTGAGTTTGACGTGGAAGACAAAGAACGTAGTGGAAGGCCGAAAGTGTACGAAGACACGGAATTGGAAGCATTATTGGAGGAAGATTCGTGACAAACCCAAGAAGAACTTGCATTTACATTAGAAGTGACTCAACAAGCAATTTCACATCGTTTAAAATCGTTGGGAATGATTCAAAAACAAGGAAATTGGGTTCCATACGAGCTGAAGCCGAGAGACGTTGAACGCCGATTTTGCACGTGCGAAATGCTGCTTGCCAGGCATAAAAGAAAGGGTTTTTTGCATCGTATAGTCACTGGTGATGAAAAATGGATCCACTACGATAACCCAAAGAAGAGAAAATCATGGGGACCACCTGGCCATGCTTCAACATCGAAAAAACTCATGCTGTGTATTTGGTGGGATCAGCTTGGTGTCGTGTATTATGAGTTGTTCAAACCGAGCGAAACCATTACTGGAGCTCTCTACCGAACACAATTAATGAGATTGAGCCGAGCACCAAGGAAAAACGCGCCCATTACTACTCCAGACACGACAAAATTATTCTCCTACATGACAACGCTCGGCCACATGTTGCAAAACCGGTCAAAACCTATTTGGAAACACTTAATTGGGAAGTTCTACCCCACCCGCCGTATTCACCAGACATTGCCCCTTCCGATTATCACTTGTTCCGGTCGATGGCACATGGCCTGGCTAAGCAGCACTTTACATCATATGAAGATACTAAAAATTGGGTCGATTCGTGGATAGCCTCAAAAGATGAAGAGTTCTTCCGACGTGGTATCCGAATGCTGCCAGAAAGATGGGAAAAAGTAGTGGCTAGTGATGGACAATACTTTGAATAAAACGTAATGTACCGTTCTTTCACAATAAATTCCTAATTTTTGATAGAAAACGGCGGAAACTTATTTGTACTCCTAATAACATCATTAGTATTGTCGACTTGACGTTTTTACGCTAGTATTTTTCTAGTTTTTCTACTTTTTCTACTTTTATACAACTTGTTTAATACAGAGAACACATGTAAAAAGAAATCGCTTCATCACTGTCAATTCGCAATCACCATTTCTGGTTGATACATAGTACAGTTTAATTCGATGAACTGACAGTTAACCGATTCGCGGTAGATTTCAGGTTCTTCATATGCTCCATATTAGTCGATGATTCGCGATCACCGCATGCGGCTTAGATACTTTTCAAACTACTAATCGTTTCCTATATATGTGAATTATTATTTCTCGCGTTAACACACTCAGAATTATCGATGATCGGTGTCTGTATGTTTTTATCGTGCAAAACAGCTTCAATGTCAACTTGTTTGAGTCTAAGACAAGAGCGAAATTAACATCTTATTATTGTTAAAAAAAAAACATCTATTGGAAGTTAGCGCGCTGACCTCTATTAAGAAAATTGGTCAGGAGAATACAAAAAATTGACCGCGTTTAGCAGGAAAAAGCTGTTTACTTATTAAAAAGCGCTAAGTGATTATTACTAGAGTTATGCGAATCAAGAATTTTTATGTCGAATCGAATCGAATTTGTAAAATTTTACTCGAATTCGAATCGAATCGAATAAAATCG